CTTTTGAAACGGATAAGAAGATCATGTATTGGAACAGAAAAGATATGTATCCTTGATGAAATTGTATAATGCAATGTGCTGCATGGTCAATTGATGTGAATGCACAGACAATATCAATTGTTTTAAGCACTGCAAAATTAGACCCCCGGTGTTATGAATTACAAGTTACAAATGAATGGTGGATGAGAGAATAGAAAAGTCATTAGAATTGAGTGATTAATTCGACAAATTCATGCACTAATCGAATGGATATTAATGTCTTTCTCGATCATCCAAATCAGAAACAAAGTCGTATGTTTTAATGAAGAAAAATCATTGCTGCAATTAGACAAGAAGAGAAAAGGAAATAATCCTAAAGATGATAGTACGAAAATGCAAAAAGTGTGCGTCAGAAGCTTCTAAAGATCTTGAGAAACTAGAAAATTTTGGCTTCAACAAAAAGGTGTCATGCTAGCGAGTTATATATACCGTAAGTTAGAAGAATTTGGTAACAAACTCTAAACAATAAATCATTATCCAAACACTGTTAGGTAAAACATTTATTTATATAAATCTTAATATAAAAAGCATAATATTTTTTTTTTAATATACAAATAATTATTACTATGAGAGTGCAATCTCAATGGCGGATCCATTGAAATTTTTTGTTAGGGTGGGCCAAAATCCAAAATTATAATATAATATTTAAAAAAAAAATGGAGGGCCCATCCCAAAAAAGGCTGGATCGCCCTGGATACTTCTTAAGCGGGAATTAAAAAAATTATAACTTATTACAATGATGGGTTTATTCTATTTATAACTATTAAATGGGAATATTTTTTTATGGCTATAAAGTTTATTCTTATGTAGAATACCACTATAAAGAATTTGACTGTATAGTGTGGGTATGGGTGGATATTCCAAGATTTGTTGCAATTACGTAATATAATGTATCAGCAAAGTTCAAATACACTAAACCTGTCGTGTTCGAAAAAGATGATCTGAAGAAATGTCAAATCAACCAAAAACAAGTGTAGCATAGGAACGACAAATAATGAGGTACAAAACAACAATGGTTTTATCATATTTTTGAAGCAATATTTTGCATGAGTTAGATGAATCAAGAAATATGGGGCTCCTTAATTTATTACAGATTGTCCACACCGAGAAGAGGGGTGGAATATCTTCTGTAGTGATTCTACGTCGAGAAAAACCTGTATTCTTGTAGACATACATAAGAGACGTATCTCAAACATTCTTGTATATTTGAAAAGAAAAAAATAAAATAAATGATGCCACGTTGTGTGGTATATATAAGTAGACACGGTTAGTTAACCATTTTTAAGAAGGACGGTTTTGCTGAAGAAGCAGTTTATCATCACCATCTTCTTCAAAAATTTCTCTGAAACGTTATTGTTGGTTGCTTAGTTGAACTTATATTCAATTAAGAAGAGAATTCCATGGAGAGTAGAGATGAGAGTTGCAGTACTATTGAAGAGGGTGGTGCTGATCTTCTTCATGAGGCTCAGCTCTTCGACAAAAAGAAGAAGATGATGATCATAATCGTGTTAATGCGGTGTTCTGCATGGCGCCTCACTCTGATAGGGTTGATACCACAGCATACAGTGTTTCTTCTTCATCCTCAAAATCACACTTCTGCTTCTTTCACATCTTTGTATCCCAAGTAGTCTCTCTCGCTCTTCTCTTCTTCTTCCTCATTAAGAAAACTTTATACGTAGCAGATATTTCCAGAAAATGTTTCCGGAGTAGTGTCCTTTTTTTTGTTTTTGTAAGAATCTCTACAAGAAAAGAAATCAACCCCATTGCATTTAATATAATTAAACTAATTTTAATTAATAGATTAGTTCTTTTAATCTACCTAATTTTCCATTGCAGCTTTTGGTTTTTTTATGGTCTTGTCACTTTTAAAAAAGTGAGTTCATTGTTGACTGTGACATGGATAAAAAATAATTAAACAACTGTTCTTTTATAAGTTTCTTAATCAATGGTGAACCATTGAAGTTCTTTCAGAACTTAGATTTTATCCATGCAATGGTAATTGACACAGTAACTAGATGGGAAAAATTTGATTGCTTTTGGGATTGTCGCAGTGTTTTAATTAAATAAAAGAATCCTGCTTAAAGGATTGTGGCAGCAAAAACCTTTAATTACTTTGATTGATTTTGCATATCAGAGAAACCGAGAGAAAGTTTCAGAGTATTACAAGAAACAAGAAAGGCTTCTTGAAGGGTATAGTGATATGGAGATCATGACTGAAAAGGGTTGTTGGCCTGAAAGCCTAACCGAGGTAATTTCTAATGCGTAGTTCACTGCGTTCACTTTTTGTTAAGCGAAGCAAACAGTAGATGCTCTGTTTCTAAAAAACTGAAAATTATGGTTAATTTGGCTCAGGATGAAATGAAGCAACTTGCAAAGAGTGGAGAGGTTGGCAGTTCACATATCAAGTAACTAAATTGGTACTTTTTTATGGCAAAGTTTATGCTTCTATTGAAAGCAGATCTTTGGCAGTAATTGCCTCAACTCTGGACTCCCTCCTAGATCTTTATCAGGTTTATTTTGTGGTTCACTCAAACGCCATGAAAAACCAAACCAGTATCACTACCAATTGGAAAGAAGAGGAGCAACCAGTAGTAAGTTATCAAATTTGTTCTTGACACACTACTAAATCTGTGTTCAAATTGCATACCCATTAGTAATCAGCTTCAGTATACAGGCATCATTGTTTTTGCTCAGTAATGGCAACTCTTGGGACTACAAATTCTGCTGAGTCTGCACGGGCAATAGTTACAAAGGTATGTTATATCTTTGTGTACATATTGTCCGTCCCAATGAAAAATTTTCGGTCATGCATCGTCTGTTTGAATAGAACAATGACTTTTGAATGGTGTCTTCGATACAGTCTCGAACTGAAAAGGATGGCGGAGCAAGAAAAAATGGCGATGGGATATGGTCTGTGACAGTGGTCAAGTTGTGTGATGATCTACTGTCGTAGATTCAAAAAACGAAATTGTCAGAGCCTATGCACAAGATCCTTTCTTTGATGTCATTACCAATTCAATGGTTTAGTCACGGCTGTGCTAGCTGTGAAACTTCCTGGTGGATGACCAACTGGAGCCATAATAGTGAGCCTCACAAACTATCACTAAACTCTTTTAAAATTTATTTACCTCTGGATAATTTTGCTCAAATAATTCTGGTTCCGCCACTGCAGATCAGGATTTTAACGATTGGCACGTGGGGAGGACGGTTCTGGAGAATGTATTTTCACTGATAGGAAGAACTGCCCCGCCAGATTTTCTGGCAAAAGTGACATATCTGATATGGATCATCATGAATGATAAAGCACAACTTGAACAGTGAGAGCATACACATTTGGGTCACATTATTTTGTGGAGGTGGACATAGTGGTTGCCACGAGGACATGTTACTGCAACAAGCTCATAACATTGGAGAGACATTGCAGGAGAAGCTTTGAACAATTGCCTGAAAGTTGAGAGAGCTTTTGTGCATATAGATTTTGAGTTTACACATCGACCTGAACACACACAAGAGCCTTCAATTAGCTTGAGCTTCGTAAATATATGCAAGACAGATAACTGCAGCTTTATTGAGCTAATTAATTAAGGGTTTTTGAGATTTTCCGCGCATTTTCTATGATTTCCTATCATGAAATACATATGATTTAGAGAGAGTATTTGAAGGGTTGGGTGGTCCTGGCTGGGGGGGGCCTTGGAAACAAAAGGGCATATAAAGTAAATCCAGAAGAAACATAGGGTTTCGAAAAGCACTCTCACTCTATTATTAGGCCACCATAAACCCTAAACCGTCATTTCAATTTTCAATCTCATGATCTTTTCCTCTCGCCGTCTGTATCTCCGTCTTAGATTAGTTTTCTTTGGTTAGATGATTGAGAAGGGCCTGTGATGCTCACAAATTGTCCGTACCATTGAGATGCTTTTTCCTGATGCATTCAATTATTCAATTGATTTCTGAGGCCTCCTTTCGATTTTCTTTTGCTTTTGTGTTATAAATTCAGGCGCTGAGATTCAAATTTATACCATCAAACTTTGAAAGCTTCAGAGAGAAGCTTGTTGATGTAAATCTTTACATTCTCTGAGCCTTTGGTGTCCTTTTCGGAACTTATTTTGTAGTAAAGCAATAAATTAGAGTCTCTGATGCGCTTCTGTCAATAGCGTTTTCAGCGCTGTACGTTGCCGAGAAGGAGATTGGGGAATGAGATTCTGGCACTTTGTTTTCAATTTCTAAGCTTTGTGCATTCAGATTTCCCCATATTTAAAAAAAAAAATTAATGTGTTTTTGATTTAGAGGAATACTGAAAAACAGTGATGATCCAACAGACCTGTAATGATTTTGTGAAAATGATCACAAAACTCTTTATGAACATCTAAGGGCAGAGATTGTTTCATCATTTGCTGTTTTCACTGTTTTCTGAAACTCGTTTCTGTTTTTTTCCTTTTGGAAAGCTTTTGTTTACAAAGTTTTTTTAACTTTTAATGTGTTTTTAATTACTTGTTTTCATGTTTGGATGCATTTAATTTAAGTGATTGGGAGTTAAATATTTGAATGAAATTGTGCTAGATGGGTAGATATTAAAAGAGGAACCCAAATATGAGAAAGGGGAATTTGAAAACCTTGCAATGGAGATGAGGTTTGATGTCGAAAAAATGTGGAAACGTAGAAGCTATACAACAATTCTCTAGACAGGCCCCTCTTGCTATCCTGTACAGTTACTCCTTCATCTTTATAGGAAAATAATAACCCTAAGAAGGAATATGCTTGTGGTTTTGCAAGTTGCATTGGTCCAAAAGGAAGAAGATGCTGCTTAGACTGCGGCCTTATCACTTGAAAAATATAGATGGGAAAGTGTGTGAGGATGATAATCTGATGATGAAATCATGGAACATAATTTTATTGATGTGTGGTTTTGTAGCTGTGATTAGGTTTTAGGTGTTCAGTTTTGTGTGTGCAAGAAAAATTATTTCAATGTTCATGATGAAAATGCATAATCCCAGCTCTATGAGGCCTTGTTATCAAAGGTCAGTGAATAAGACTGTTTCCAACATTTATCTGAGCAACTAAAACCTTTTTATTGTACCAGTTTAATGAACGTGTTGTTTTTGTGCTTATTTGATGTGTTCTGTATCTGGGTATCTTATTTTGTATTTGTTCATCTGGGTTTGTTTCATATTTCTTCATGTGATGGTTCAAAATAATCATGCTAGTGTATATCTGATTGTTTTATGACCGAAAGATTACTTTTTTCTAAGGGAAGAATTGAGATTTGAATGTTCCTTCATGGGTTTATTTAAATCTTGAAAAAGTGTTTGTTAGGTCACAATTGAGCTTGTTTTAGTTGGTTTTATTGTGTTAAGTGAAGAGAGAAATTGAAAAAATTGAATGTAGGTTGTTAATGATTGTGTTCGTGATTGAGTGTGAAAAGAATATATTTCTATTTTTGTGAAGATTTATGTCTTATGTGAAATTTGCATAATCCGCTAAAATGTTCCCAAGATTTCATACCGACCAGCTAAAGATGACTGGATTACTGACTGAATACTGTTTATGTTGAGAATGTACTTGTTCTGTATTACTTTGATTGTCATCTTTAATTTTTTGGATGTATTTTAATAAATCTCAAGAATTGTCAGTGAATAATTCACTCCTCCTTGATCCAGCTGCAAATTGATTGCTGTCCTAAACTCTTGGATTTATCTCATCTTATGTTTGGTTTTTATGGTTCAGTTGAATCCAGTACTGTATCAACAACAGTTTCGACTACTCAGACGGTATTGTCAAAATACAACAACCTACCATGTATTTAACTACTTGCCCGCATCAACATGTTTCTCTGAATCTGTTTTTTCTCCGTATGTATATTGAATTTAAACAGTTCTGACAAGTGTCAATGTGTTATTTTTCCCTCAAAAACTTTTTGTTACTACCCCTTTTTCAATTGCTGTTTTATTGTGATTATTGCAGGTTAGCCCTTGAAGAGATTCTGAATTTAAGTCCAAATTTCATTCTTCATTGAGTAAATGCATTGTGAATTCCTAAGCATACATTATTCTATCGAGTTAAAATGTACTTGTGATTGAATGAATTCTCAAATTTCATCGGTTTACCCCCAAATGAAGCAGCACAGCCACCAGTACGCTATAATATAAATCGGACCCAATGTCATATAACCAATCTGTTCTCTATAACCCTTTTTTTCACTCGCAAGGTTTTATTGACTTCACAAAGATTAATACAAAAAAAAAATCAATTCAATCTAGGTATTTTTGTTGTTACAATGATATTACGCGTTTTTAAAACCACATAAAAATCAAAATAATGGAGATATGATATTGGGGGGCGTTTAGGTTTAGGAATGTTATATTACTGGGAAATGGTTAGATTATGGAAAGATAGCTTACCTTGGAAGATTACTGGGAATCTTTAGGAAATAGTTTGGTGAGTTGAGGGTTATGTTATTATCAATATGTTTGATTCTTTTTATAGGAACAAATTGGTGGGTTGTTATTAAATTACAAATTGCACTCTTTTTTAAATATATAATATAAATTTATTTTGATTATTAAATTTTGAATAATTCTTTTAAACCCCAATATTTCAGATTTTTAGCTAAAACACACCTGCTTATAAAAAACGTTATTTATGACGCACATCACTCACTCCTGTTGCCGCTGCCACCACCGCAAACCACCGCGGAAAAGCGCCGGAGCCCCTAAAAAAGAAGAAAATTCTGGGGAGCTCGGGAAGGCGTCTTATGGCCGTTTCCTGTCATATTGATGGCCGACAAATCGGCATATCAAGCTAGATCCTGGCCATTATCGGTCAGGTCTGGACCAGATCTGGTCGCGTAAAGCCAGGGATCTGGCATGATTATGTTCGTTTCGGCCATCAATATGGCCGGGAAACGGCACATAACAAAAGCTCCCAGAGCTTCACACAGATTTTACTTCTTAATTAGGGGCACGACGACAAATTTTTCTTCGACGGTGGTCCGTGGTGGTTGGCCTGCTGTCCGGACGGTGGTGGTAGTTTGTGGTGGCACAGTGGTGTCCGTAAAATGAAATTTTTTAAATATTAAGGATTATTGTCCAAAAATTTTAATTTAAACAAGGGTAAAAATGAAATAGGATATTAATGGAAATTTGTTTTAAAGTCGGGGTAGTATTGTGTAAAAACTTTTTATTAATAAGGCTATAAAATTGTAACAAAAAAAGATTATACCCTGGTAATCTCATAATACTAAGAAAATGGAGGTAATCGATTTACCCTCTGATATTACCATAGTACCAATATTAGTATTTGAAGATTACCAGTATATGATTTACTTGACAAACCCAAAATGGTATCAAGTAATATAAGTGACATTAACCACAGTAATTCCCAATAACCCGAAAACCCAAACGCCCCCTTGGTAGGAATGGGCGTGTTCATTGCATCTGGCGAGGACTTGTTGTGACTTGGCTCGAATGGGTGAAGATTCTCAAATGGATGGGGATCGGCTTTGGGCCTCGGGCCCAAAAGGAAATCTTTGAAATTGGGATCGGGTCGGGGACGGAAGACAGTCCATCCCCAGTCCAACCTATCCCCGATTCCACCGTATATTATATATATAAATGTGGGAATGCTTTTGATAAAATCTGATACAAAAAGATGTATCATTTAATTTTTAAGACATGATATTATGTTAGTTTTGATGTAATTTATGCGCACTTGTTTAAGTTTTAGAAGTAGGATTATATAATTGCAATGATTTAAGCAAATAGAATATGATTACAAGCGATGTATTTTAGAAAGATTTTATAAAAAATATTTATAGTATTTTTTAATCCCCTTACATTTGTTAAAATTTATTAAAATATCTACAATAAAAGTTTATAAATTACAACAAAAATCCTTTCACCCATCCAAACTATTGTTGGTGAGGCTAACGCTGTCGGACGGTGGTCGAAAGTATCAAATGGTGCAACGATGATTGGATCTGTTAGATCGTTTGTGTCGATTTGGCCTTTTTCAGTCTAGATCTTGTTTCCTAAATTTGGTCGCTTTTCGACTAAAGGTTGTGGGTAGATCTGGGTTGAAAATGACCATTCGGTGCACACCGATTAGATCAACGTCGTGTAACATTTTAATGACTTTCGACCATCTGTCTCGGCCAGTAGGTGGTCTTACTGTTAAAATAGTTAGGTGGTATGGTGATTTTTTGGTAATGTACAAACTTTTAATTGAGAAATGTATTGTTAAAATATTTTAAGTTGAATAGAACATATTATTTAATTCTTAAGTTGAATGAAAAAAAAATAATTCATTTCACTCGATGGGATTGCTGGGGATTAATAGGATAGGATAGTGTTCCAAAAATTAAACAAACGAAATCATTTTAATTAGAGTCTAATTGCAAATAATTGTCACTACTAATCTTCCTAAAAAATTTTGATCAGGTTTAATAGGGGTGGGATAGGATATCCGCGTTCAAAATAAAAAGGAGTTAGGTCCTAAACCGGGAAATCGCATTGGTATTCGATTATAAATCGGGTTGTTAAACTGAACCAACTATTCCAGTCTGTGGTTAACCAGTTTTTTTAACGGTTTCAAATAACCCCCTAAAATTCTTCAATTTTTACATTTAAGTTTCATAAATTCAAATATTTACCTATTTATATATATTTTCATGTTGTTTTTCTCTTTTATTTGGGTATTATTGTTGTGGCTTGGTGTGAAAAAGACATTAAATTACCTATTTGCAAAATACTGAATGCAAAAATATGAAAGAAAAAACATAAGAATTCAATTACACATTACTACTACTCATTAATAACGAACAACAATTTGGCATAATTAAAACTAAAAAATATTTCCAAATAAACAAAAGGGTACTTCTTCAAAATCAATCATCTTCAAAACCGAAGTCCAACTTCTTCAATCTGCTATAGGCTATGAATAAAAGAGTCTTCTCAACATTCATCGCCAGGCTGCATCTGTATATATTGTGAGAAATAAAGTTATAGTTAGCAAACTCTCCAAAAACCGAATTAATGCAAAATATGGCTATGAATAATATCAATGCAAAAGTCGTGTACAAAATGTATCAAAGTGCAAAGGATGGTGCAAAAATAGGTTAAAGGCTTGTGGAGTGTCTCCCTTTATATTCCCTTATTAAGTTTAACTATAGAAAGTAGTTCAAAAAACTTAAAACAAATAAACCAGACATCATCAAGATGAGTTTAACACTACTTTGACCTTACGAACATAACAAACTATTGAAAATCAGTTCACAACAAATAAACAAACAATTGTTCAAAAAATTTAACCAAAATAACCACAAAAATTAACAACATAAACCCTTAAAACCATTTAATCATCACAATGATAAGATAACTCATATATTGGAAATTTGAATACCCTAAACTCGAGAATGAGATAACTACTTTTCACTCCCGGGGAAAAGAAAAACTTTACACAAAGTTGGCCAAACAAGTTGAGCTAAATATCATAAATAATGATGGAAACTATCTCCCATTATAATTGAAAGTTAACAAAAAAATGTCACATCAATCAATTTTAGATATTCCGCCAAGCTTTCCTCAATGGTCCAATGGATCCCCAGCGTATTCTAATCCAAGTCATGTGTACAGATAAGAGCCTCTACATCTTAGTAGGAAGGGAGCTATGAAATAGATCTAATACACGACCCTAGTACTAAAAGCCGACTCAAATGCAAAAAAACGTTTGAAACGACTAAAAACACATAGGTGTTATCATAGAAAGTAAACATATTTGTTGAAGAGTCTTCCACCCAATTCAAAGACTCAAATATTTGGTCGTTGTCATCCTCACAATCGTCCACTAAATACGTATCCAACTCGGTTTTTCTGCATCAACACTTGCCTTCGTAGCCTTTTTCTCAAAACAGAACCCTCATGAAGTCCTCTTATCAACATTTGGCCATGCACATCCAATGTCAATTGAACTTGAAGATTTCTCACTTGACTACTCAATTGTCATCCACCATAAGAACATTGTATTGCTCAAATAAAGGACCAACAAAGCTTTCTTTCACCTTCTCAT